CGGAAGTCCTTATATTTGTGGTTAGCTAGTGTCTTGGCTGCAAACGACGGTCTCCATTTCCTATCCACACGCGCGAATCTCACGCAGGTTTGGCTTCGCGATTCTGATTCTTCTCTTTCTCAATGCTATCTTCTCGTCGTGAATTTCTGCTAATCTTTGCGAGTGTCCTTGTTCCTCGTATTCTTTATTTTGTTACTTTTATTCGTGAGGATCTACTATTCTTTCTTCTATAATCAATAATCGTTTTTTTTAGCACAGCCATTTCATTAAATTCGTTATGATTACAAAGGTGACTTTCGACAGGCTTGTAGGAGTAGGATTCTTAACGACATATACACATCTCCGTAGGCAGTTATAGTATAGCTTTATAACAAGCTATGGAGCGCGAACTTCCAACATAGCGTGGTGTTGCATAGCGTCACCGCCCACGCAGAGGATTCCTTAGCGCGGACCATGGACAAGAATCACAGCAAAAGCGGGAAAAAAGCGAATGGAAACACCGTGAGCCCCAGTCTCGGAGCCGGATTCGCGAAACCCAGGGGCAGTGGGTGACCGCGGCTTCGGTCCGATCGCGGTCCAGAACGTATCAGGTCTTAGGCGAAGACCGAATCTCCGCTTCGAATCTTCGTTGATTTTTGAGTTTTATAAGTTCCCGCTCGCCTGAAGTGGAGCGGCGGGATCGGTCGAGCGAGGCAGACGCAGCTACAGCGCCAGCCGATCTGAAAGCCTGAACGAACCCGACCTACAATAACTTGAACTTAACAGCACCATTGGTCCTAGCACAGGGCTCGCCTCGCACGCCGCGTCGATCCCGATGGAGCTCAGAAAATAGGAGGCGAATTCCAAATAGAAACCGGATATTTCTCTTGTTATGTCTTTTCCTTTTCTTTGTTTTATACTTTTATTCGCAGCATTGATATGCGATGTGACTCGAGCCTTCCGAGCCGCTGGCCTCGACGCCGAGCTCTCCCGGGTTCCTCCTCTAGATCCTCCGTTCATCTTGGGCTGGACGCGCTCCCTGGCGCCCCCGGCTTGGAGGAGTCGCAAGCGCAGTGGAGGGCGTTGTGGGCGCGGCAGCGGTGGCGGACGGTGGGCGGCGTGCGGTGGGCGTGGGAATCGACGTCGTTGCAGCAGGAGCTCTGCTGGTCCGGCTGGGGCGAGGTGCTGGGCGAGCGCTGGGGGGAGCGCCGCTCCTTCTCGGACCTCTCGGAGATGCGCGACGGCGACGTGCCCTTCAGCCGCAGGGTCGTGTTCCAGTTGCGGAACCTGGGGGGGGGCGACGGGGGCTCGGGGGTTACAAATACACACATGGGCAACAAGCATGTGTTTGAGTGTGCTTGTGTGCGTGTGTGTTTATGTGTTTGAGTGTGCTTGTGTGCGTGTGTTTATGTGTTTGAGTGTGCTTGTGTGCGTGTGTTTTATGTGTTTGAGTGTGTTTGTGTGCGTGTGTGTGTGTTATGTGTTTGAGTGTGCTTGTGTGCGTTGTGTGTTTGTGTGTTTGAGTGTGTTTGTGTGTGTGTGTGTTGTTTATGTGTTTGACTGTGCTTGTGTGCGTGTGTGTGTTTATGTGTTGAGTTGTGCTGTGTGCGTGTGTTTATGTGTTTGAGTGTGCTTGTGTGTGTGTTTATGTGTTTGTGTGTGCGTGAGTATATAAATATATGTGTGTATACGTTTTTCTGTGAGCGTGAGTGTAAGTGCATAGGTGTGTTTCATTTACATAATACACCAAACAGAACATCATATTACTACAGAAATACTAATCCTATCTGACCAACATATTTTTCAAAACTACACAAAGTCATGATATAGTTTTATTCCAAAAGCTTTTTCTCCATAGACTGAGAAAAAAAGATATGCCATGAAATACATACAATGAATAGAAAAGCACGTATTTCTCTCGTATTTCTCTTGCATATATTTTGAAAAGAATTTCTATAAACATCAGTGACATTTACTTTCTCACGTGTTACTGTTTACCTGTGTCTGTGAATATCCCAGATATAAAAATATGACGAAAATAGAATGATTGCTACTAATAACGATAACAGTAACAACATCAATAATAACAGTAATATTAATAATAGTAATGCTAATGCTAATGCTAATGATAATGATAATGATAATGATAATGATAATGATGATGGTGATGATGATGGTGATAATAAAAAGCGTAATGATAATGATAAAAATGGTAATGATTATAATAATGATAGTGATAATAATGGTGTTAATAATAATGATGATGATAATAATACAGATAACAATAACAATGATAATAACAATGATAATGATAATAATGATGATGATTATGATAGTAATAATGATAATAATAATAATAATAGCAAAACTAATAAAAACAATAATAATAAAACAATAATAATGATAACAAAGATAACAAATTAATAATAATAGTAATAATAACAATATTAACATTAACAATGATAATAATGATAATAGCAATGATAAGAAGAAAAAGAATTCTAAGATACTGATACTGATA